TGGGTTTATCCTGTGTGGGACTGTCTGTGCTTCCTGGACTTGGGTGGCTGTTTCCTTTCCCGTGTTAGGGAAGTTTTCGACTATAATCTCTTCAAATATTTTCTTGGGTCCTTTCTCTCTCTCTTCTCCTTCTGGGACCCCTCTAATGCAAATGTTGTTGCATTTAATGTTGTCCCAGAGGTCTCTTAGGCTGTCTTCATTTCTTTTCATTCTTTTTTCTTTAGTCTGTTCCGCAGCAGTGAATTCCACCATTCTGTCTTCCAGGTCACTTATCCATTCTTCTGCCTCAGTTATGCTGCTATTGATTCCTTCTAGTGTGTTTTTCCTTTCCATTATTGTATTGTTCATCTCTGTTTGTTTGTTCTTTAATTCTTCTAGGTCTTTGTTAAATATTTCTTGCATCTTCTCGATCTTTGCCTCCATTCTTTTTCCGATGTCCTGGATCATCTTCACTATCATTATTCTGAATTCTTTTTCTGGAAGGTTGCCTGTCTCCACTTCATTTAGTTGTTTTTCTGGGGTTTTATCTTAGTCCTTCATCTGGTACAAAGTCCTCTGCCTTTTCATTTTGTCTATCTTTCTGTGAATGTGGTTTTCCTTCCACGGGGTGCAGAATTGTAGTTCTTCTTGCTTCTGCTCTCTGCCCTCTGGTGAATGAGGCTCTCTCCCTTTTTCTTTATCTCTGTGATTCCAATAGCATGGTCAGACTCTTGTTATCTTTCAGCTAGATTTCTGCAGCAGTCTTCTCTCTTTCTCCAATGTATTTCCCCTCTAGTTGGTCTGGCCTTTTGAATCTTTTAAAAGTCCCATCTAATTTATTGAAATCATTTTTGGTTGAAGCCAGGATGAAATTAGGTTAATAGAGTCTATCTCTACCCCACCCTCATCATCTCTATTAAGGATTGTTGCTAATAATCAAGCCCTTCATTTCTTCACCTTCACCTCAGATGATCCCACTTCTCAGCTGATGAGGTCATATATTGGACTGTCCTTGCTCAAAACTGATAATACCTGAGATCCTCAACTAGATCCCCAGGTGATTTGACTGTACATTAAAGTTTGAGGCTCATCATACTGAAAACAAGCAAGAAATAGCCCGCTTTTCAGAAACTGGGTACCAAGTAATAGCTGGAATTTTGCTTCACTTTTCCCTCCTCATTTCTTGTTCTCCTTGTCCTCAGCTAACTACTGAGATAATGAGAGTTCTTGTCCTGGTGTGATGACTCAAACCTTCAGTCTGAGGCATCTGAGTCATTGGTGGTATAGGATTGCTCTGAGTTTCTGTCACCTTCATTTCCAGGAGGTGCCTCTGTGGGGAGAGTGGAGGAAACCTGCCCAGGGTCCTACAACCAGTAGATGGGGGTCTGGCATAGACATCATGGTATAGTGGGAAAAGCAAAGGTTTTTAAATCCTTGCCTTGTTCCTTACTTAGATGTGGATATTGGAAAAGTCACTTAATTTCTCTAAGCCTAAGTTTTTTGCTTATAAAGTAAGAAATGAAGGTATGTACTTGAGAGGAGTGTTAATCGTAACTTCTGGGAGGAGGAGAATTAAACATAAGGTCTTTAGATTATAATTTCTGGCACAGAGTGTACACTTTTCCTCTTTC